CACGAGAAACTCAGGCCTTACTCACCCCCATGGTGGTGGCGATTACGAGCCCCCCCAGTTTCCTCCAGGGAGGGGAAGATATGGAGATGAATATTATTGGGGGGGGTTAGAAAGAGAAGGAGGAAAAAAATTACAATACGCCTCTACTGCGCCTGCGCAAGCTCCCCGCGCCAAACGCCGGGGGGAAGAAAGGCCACCAGCGCGGACATCACCTGACGCACAAGCGTGGAGGTGGGAAACCCCCTGAAAAGGAAGCGCAGGGAGGAGGGGGGGGAAGAGGCGTGCCCACGCATGCGCTGTGTGGCGTGTGGACCACGAAGAGGGCGGAAGGAGAGACAGGCGAGGCTTCCGCGGCGCGTGCGCCGGGGAGGAAAGAAGGAAAGGGCGGGAAAGGGAGGGAGATCGTTTTAATAATCGTTAAAAAAAGGGGACCGGGGTTGTCGGGGCGCATGCGCGGTAGCGCCTTCTAACTGTCAGCGCTGTTCTCCCCCCCTCACCTTGACCTGACTTTTTTTTTAACAAAAAGACGAATTAATTCGTGTTTGTGTTAAAAAATTATTATGTCTCTGTTTCTCCCTCATTATGGTGTGTCTTCTTTTTTTTTAAAAAAATAAGACTTTTTGAAAAGGCACGTATGCTAAAAAAAACAAGAAAGGCAACAAAATTTCATATATTTAAAAATATAGTTCTTTTTAAGGAGAAAGGGGGGGAATTATTGTAAATAAATAAATAAATAAATAAACAGCCTGCTTTTCTGTGGTTTGTGAGGAATGTTTTTTTTTACAGCGCAGAAACAACTGCATAAAATAAAGCTAATAAAAATAAAGTCGCACCTAGTGTCTGGTGCCTGACAACCCTCTCATTTGTCTTTATGCTTCTTGTCTCCCATAAAACACCTCTACAATTCTTCCCACTATCCCCTTTCAAATTACTTCCACCATTACTCTCTTTAAAGGGATAGCTGAAATACAGTATTAAACTTAATTTTTACAGATATCCTGAAAAGGCATACAAATGTCATTTCTGTACTTCCTGAGAAGGGAACACTAAATGGCAGTCTGGTCCACCCATGGGGTTTAAAACTGAATTCCTTGCATAAAATCTTACTAATATTTGAGTCTGAGCTATTTTGCATGACAGTTTCACAATGCAAAGACAACAGATTTTAAGTTTGTGTTTAGTCGTTTAGTCGTGTCCCGCATGACAGTTTCACAATGCAAAGAGAACAGATTTAATTTTAAGTTTAATTTCATTTATTATGGTTTTAGCTCACCTATTGTCCAGTGAGCTCAGGGTGGCTAGGCGGCTTTCTTTTTCCTCACAACAACCCAGTGAGGTAGCTCAATCAGGCAGAGGCCAGGGGGATTGAACAAAAGTCCCTCTATACGTTTCATGATCAAGGGGGGGATTTCGAATCCAGATCTCCTGAGTCCTAGTTAAGCTCTTTGTCAGCTACACCACTGCTGTCGCTCACTGACTGCAGAACCATTCAAAATTATGAATTTCACTGTCATACTATGTGGTGATACCCACTAGATATGCTGGCTTTGAAAAAAACAAAACTGGATACAACACATTCATGAAGGATAAAACCATAGGTAG